CTGAACGTGGGTGAGTGGGGGGTTATCCTCCTTAACCGCTATTACTCTCCCTATTTATATGAAGGAGATAACATAGAACAAATGGGTGTAAGTTTTTTCTCGACCGAAAAAATTTTCTCTGACTCTCTTCTTCTCCCAACGAAGAACACACACAAGTAAGGGCATCTAATTGGCGGAAGATTAACTTTGTTTCCTAGTGATTCAAAGTTCGATTTGGGGCAATCGTTTCGGTGGTGAGTTCAATAATTCTTCCGCTGCGTTGACAGGTACGCTAATGTTGTTCTCGCCCCGCGATTATGATTCTAACAAATTGTATTATGTTGTTTATATATTTTTCTTTTATTTATTTAACTATTGTATGAAAGTTGAACAACATTGTATAAAATTATATTTAAGTTGTATGATAATGTAGTTGTATATAACTGAGTAGAAATAATGTATGAAAATTGTAGATAAGTTGTAGATAAGTAGTATAATATATAATTAGATGTATGAAATTTATTTTTACTATGTATAAATCAGATACCAAATATACAAAAGACATATTGTATAAATTTTGTATTTAAGTTGTATGTTATTGTAGTTGTATTTAACTGGGTAGAAATAATATGTGAAAGTTGTAGATAAGTTGTAGATAAATTGTATGATATATAATTAGTTGTATGAAATTTATTTTTACTATGTATAAATCAGATACATAATATACAAAAGGCACGTTGCATAAATTTTGTATAAAATTTGCATTTAAGATTATACTATGCCCATGTCTTCATTAGGGAGGAAGAAGAGGATGTTTTGTCTTCGTTTACAGCTTCTCTCATCTCAAGTTCCGATACAAGAGTCTCTTTTATTGAATCTTTCATATCAATTCTTTTAATCCTAACCAGCAACTACTTAAAAGGCTGCTTTCCTAGTTAACTTTGTTCGTAAAATTTGAGAACCTGGTGATCATTTACTTTGGCACACTTTGATTTCCAGATTGTTTCATGTTACTTTTTGTTAGTCTGCAACTCTACTCTCCAAGGCAACTTGTCATGGACATTGCAAAAGTATTTTTGTGGCTGATGGTTGTTTGTGTAATCTTATTCGCTTCTTATTGATCTGCTGGAAAATTCCAGATTAAACTCGGATGTGGAAATGTGTATTCTGTTCTTACACAATTATACTCATTTCTCTGAGTTACACGAAAAAAATGCAATTATTCTTTTGAGAGGAAGAAGGGTACATCTCTTTCAGTCAAGTAGAAATTGTTAAAGAATTGCAAGAGCAGAATTTGCAAAGGAACATGCTGTGGTAAACAATTGACGAGCACTGCCGATGATTGGAGAAAAATAAGGAAAGAGAAGAATTTAAAAAAAAAAAAAAGGAAAAAGGTGTAATTAAATCCCTTGATTGAAGGCACAAATAATGGATTTGGGAGCCTTTTAAGGTGGATTGTATATATTTTGTAAACAAAACTTGGTTATGCCAAGTAATTAGCTAAACTTGAACATTAAGGGTAATAAAGTTTCAAATAGTGTATAGGAATGAAAAAATCCCTTAAGAATTTATATTTGTTAGTTAAGATATATACACATATATACATACGTTATTTTCGAAATTACTGGGCCGGTGACCCCTACCCTATGAGTAGGTCCGCCTATAATCCATTGGACCACTGGGGTCGAAAAGTGGCTCTCCAATTAGTTGGACCTCTTAGTTTTCGCTTTTCATTTGACGTTTTTCTCTCCTTTTTGGAGTCCTACATCTGTTCCCACAAACAAATATCTTATAACTATCTCCTCTTTTTTCTTCCCCCCTTTTTATACAAATATCCTACGATTTCCGACGATGGAAATTTCTTATATTTTGATATATCAGTAGATCATTGGTTCATCCATATGATAGATTTTTATTAGAATAGTATTGACGTATGAAAAATATATCTATAGCTCTAGTGGACAAAATACATTGAATTTATATTTTATATTGTTTAAAAAAAAAATGAAAGTCTGAAAAAAAAAGAGGCGAAACCGAATACAATTAACCAATTCTTATTGTTTCGATTAATTTGTATATTTAACAAACCGAATATTGGTTTAATTTCCTTGTAGATAAAAATCTAGTCATATCGAACCGTATACAAAGTTGATAACATACCAACTTATATATGCTTTTTTGCTTGAGTTTTGTTGTGTTAATAGATAAAAATAGTGGTGGTCATTGTGGTTTTATTGCATATTTCATTTTCAGGTTTTATATGTTGGAGAAGAGATTGAGAGAAAGAAGAAAATAATCTGATCAAAAAAATATTCTGGCTAGATTTGAAAGTGGTTGAAAGTGGCCAGTATTGCAAACTCGGCCAAAAACTGGCCAGATACGCAAAATGGGCAGAAATGCAGATGTGAGGACTGTTTGTGTAATTTTTGACTGGTATAAAAGTTATGGGACTTTAAAAAGAGGATTTGGGAGAATTTCACACTTTTTTGGCCATATATCCAAGCTTTGGGAGCAAGGGATTAACACGAACACCACTGGAGTGAAACTTTGGATGCCCTTTATTGAGATTTTCTATCCCTTTTAATTCCATGTCTTCAACTCTTAGCTTTGTATTGAATTGAGTGTAGTGTTATTTTCTTTTAATATTAGGGTTTGATTTTAATGTCTTGTTGCTATATTCTAATAATTGAATCTTGCTTATTTATGAAATGGGTCTTTAGTTTATTCATCTAATCTTGCATTGTATTGATTTTCAAAAGGAGTAGCTAACCCTAGGACTACTCCAATTGATTTGATTTACCTTGGGAATCTACGTGGTATGCCCATTGAAAATATCAGTTAACACCACATACAATTAAAATATTTATTTTACTGTGTATACCTACTTTATAAAATTATTTTACCATGTATACCTACTGTATTCTAAAATATAATACTGTATATTCCAAATTAGAATACTGTAGCATGTTTAGTTTGAATATTGTATTCCAAATTAAAAATTATTGTATATTTGCATTGGATATTGTATTCCAAATTAAAACGTTGTAGTATATTTGGTTTGGATACTGTATTCCAAATTAGAATACTGTAGTATATTTTGTTAGAACATATTTAATTGGATATTGTATCCCAAATTAGAGATAAGGTAGAGATAATCTTTTTTGCTTGTAGCCTAAAATTGAAAGGTTCTCAATGTAACTTAGTTAGATTAGGAATAATCAACCGGGTTAGACTCGCTAGTTATTGGGAAACGCTACTGGATAATTAATTTTCAAGGCTAATGACTTAGACCTATGATTAATTCGTAGGAGTTAGTTAAATACATTGTATTAGACTCAATGTTACTTAATTCTTTCTTTTCAATATTCTCTTGTTTTCTTGCTTGCGAGAATGCCATTGATCACTTTATTCGCTTTCTTAGATTCGATTTATCTTTCGTATGATTTATCTTTCTTCTTCTTTCTTTTCTTTTTTTTTTTTTAATAAAAAAAACAAGAAAATTCCTAAACACTTCCTCAAATTCAGGGCAGTCTGGTGCCCTAAGCTCCTTTTATGCGCGGCGTTTGGGGAAGGGCCACAAAGGTCTATCGTACGCAGTCTTGCCCTACATTTCTGCAAGAGGTGATTTCCATGACGTGAATCTACAACCTCCTGGTCACATGACAACAACTTTACCAGTTACGCCAAGACTCCCTTCTAGCATTTCCTCAAATTATTTTTCTTATATATATGATCCTCTCTTTGCACCATTTTTTACTTCAATTGATCTTCTCTTCCTCTCCCTTTACATAGCTCCCCATACATAGAAAATGGCCAATTCTCCTCCATCATCAAAGAATCAATTAGATGAAGAAGATTACATAGACATTGAAGTGAACTCTTATTACTCTTACATTTCAAGTCCTTCTACTATCTCTTCCCCTCAAAATAGGGAATTTGAGTTTCAAATGGCTTCCATTACAAATGACAAAAAAACCACAACTTCTCCTGCTGATGAACTTTTCTTCAAAGGCAAACTCCTTCCTCTTCACCAAAAAATACTTCCAACATATTCCATTGAAGAAGATGAAGAAGAAAGCTTTTGCATGAACTTCTTTATCACTAGCAATAGCAACAGTCCAACTAGACCATGCAATATTTCTACATCAGAATATTGTAGGGTAAGTTTTGAACTAAATCCAAATGAGTCCACTAGCTCTATAGATGATAACAATAGTAGTCCAAAGAAATTGTGGTCTAAGAAGCTCAAGCTATTTAAAAGTTCTTTAGTCAACCAAAAGATCAAAGCTTCAAGGGAATTTCTCAAATCTTTATTTACCAAATATTCTTGCAAGAAAACCCCATTAAAAAATAATGGAATGTGTGGTGCAAGTCCAACACTATCCAGTATAATAAAGAACATTGATAGAGCTGATGAGGATAATAATGTCAATAATTATATTAGGTCATTTTCAACTGCAGCAGAAATCAAGTGGAATTCTCCAACAAAAAGTTTGTCTTCCTCATGTGGTGGTTCTACTTCTTTCTCATCATCTAATTGTTCCTTCAACTCCAATAATGGTTTTTATGACTTGAGTTTACTCAAGAGAAGCAATAGCTTCACTTCAGAGATGAGTTCAATTGAGGCAGCTATTGCTCATTGTAAAAAAATTTAAGTGATGGGCTTAGGATATTGACAACTCCCAAGATTGCAATTGATCGTTGTCAAGAAATTAAAGACCTGGTCTTTGCAGATTTTGAATAATTTTTTTTCTTTTTTCCTTTCATTTCTTTGTTACTGCAAAGTATTTTCGCGTAAGGTGTAAAGATATTCTTAATGGTGTGATGTTGTTGATGATTTGCTTCTGTTACTATTGCATACTTATTTTAGCATAATAAGTTAGCTTAATTTTAGGATAAATCTACTTTTTTGAATTAAAATTTCAGTTAGATATTTTAGGTTTGTTGAGATATTTTAGTTTTTTTGAATTCTTGTTATGCAGATTTTTCTACAGATTATGTTCCTAATTGGCTATTTAAAGCCTTGTTATGCTTAATAAAATTATTGGAAGACTTTTTCAATCATGTTATGAATAGAATTCTATTTAGAGTGAATGTCTATCTTGTAGAGAGTTTTACTTTGTGGCTAAGTCATTTTTTCCCTATAAATAGAGGGCTCTTACCCCATTGTAAATCATCCCAAAAATCAATAAGAATTGTATCTCCCTACTTTTCTCTGCAATACTCTTCTTCTTCTTTTATTGTTTCATAACACGTTATCAGCACGAGACTCTAACTAATTGAGTAGAAGCTTTGTGGTTGAGCATAATGATTGTCAGTTGCTCCATGAACTTTCTTCATGATTAAATTCTGGATTTAAGGTAAGTATTTTACTTTATTTTTCTCTTTTAAATTCTTGAAATTCTATAATTTGATTTAATATACAAGCAAAGACAACAAAGTTTGATTATAACTCTAATGGAGTTTGTAAGAAATTATAACCACCTGAAGTGGTAAAATTTCTATGCCTCGCCATGATCAAATTCATGTATGATTGTGGGCAAATAATTGAAAACCCGTCCCATTGAATTTGCTCCATTCTCATTCTCTTAAGAGAATGTGATAGCAGTATGTGATAAGTCTGAAAGAAGACAAAATTATTACCATGGATGTATCAAGAGATATGGACGTGGCAATAGACGAAATTATAATCGTCATCATTGTGGTAATGAGAACAATAAGGATTCTCAAAATAATCCTTCACTCTGTGAGAAATATTTGTCATCGATTTGACATGAGATTTTGTAAAGAACAAATAGATGATTATGGTCCATTCATGATGTGAATGTGACAACATCTGATTTATGAATACATATTCATTCTTGGAAGAATATGAATGTGCTACAGTGGTAGTGAATATACCACACTTACCTCTAAAAGGAGGTTTGAGATGATATAAGAAAACATTGTCATTATTATGGCATGAATGATCATTGGTCACGTACCTATTGTACGCTAAAATATTTTGGTAATGTGATTATTAAAGAATAACAGTAATGCAAGAAACAGATCTTGCATATAATTTTGACCATCACTATAATGGTATAACTTTTTCTTTAAAAGAGATATTCACCATATGGATGTTGATGAATATGTGATAGTACAAAATTAATTGAGAACTCTGGAAGAGCCAATTATACTATTTTGGGGAAACACAATTGATACCAATAAGGTGTTGTGTTGTAGTAAGTCTCAAAGGAACTTATTCAGTTTCCAAAGTATAGTGAAAGAGGTTGAATATATATTGAGAATATAAATAAAGGAAAGATTTAATATCTTTTATTACTACAACTTGTAGCAGGGTAATATGGATGTGAAAAGCTACCCGCTTTATTCTCCAGTTTGTACAACACAAACAAAAGAATGCCACAATAAAGTAGAAGTTTATTGATATAAAAATTCATATCATAATAAACTTCGAGTTTATTGATAATTGCACACGTCATGGTGTAAATCTGAAGTTTATCAATATTGATAATTTATACAGTTGGCATAATAGGTTTACCCATATCAATTTGATGTGCAAAAATAAAAAAAAATTCACACGGGTAAATATTAAAGAACTAGAAAGTTCTTTACGAATTATCTTATGTTGCCTGTTCTCATTAATTAATATACCAACTAAAATTGGGATTGAATCCCATGAATGCTAGAAATTTCAAAGGTGAATATGGGCCCGTTCACCTGCCATGTATACCACATAAGATGCATCTATGAGATGGTTACATGTGCGATTATTAATAACCCGCAACATGGTGTTTTGCGAGGTAACTTGCTCAATAATTTAATTTAGAGCATAATTTCCAGATTTTCTATTCAAGAAAGTTTATCTTGGTAAGCTGGTTTACATCACAGCTGGTTTAGCAAAATAATTTATTGAGTGCACTTAATAGCTATATTGTTGTTGATGAAAACAAAGTATGTATATTTGATATACGTTATATACAAAAGTATATTACATTCTCCCCTCACAAGTGGTTTAGGGTCAGGAACCAAATAATTCCATCTTATTATTATTGATGTGCGGAGTATATTTTGATTAACACCATAACGCACAAAGGTGGATTCTCAAAGTTGAGGTAACAAGTTAGTTTTTCTAACATGAGGGGGAGACATGATAAACAGTTGGAAAAAAAGTTGTGT